TAATTTTAATTTTATATTGATATATGCGTTATATTAATAAAACGATTATTTAGTATTTTAATTTAATAAATCCACCTTACATCCCCATTTGTTTTCATTTTCTTTTCTTTTTTTTGTCATTTCTTTTTTTTTTTTAGTTTTTGTTTTTTAACTAGATAATTTTTGCAAGAAAAAAGCTAATGGATGTGAAAATAACAAAATAACTCATATCTCATTAATTTTGATTTGTCCTTATCCAATATGTACAAGTTCTTAAAAATTCATAATAGGGTCGAGGTTTTTTTTTTTTCTCTAAAATCGAAGCCAGTTGAAAGTGGGTTTAAAGTGTTTCATCTTTTTTCATGTGTGTGTATATATATATATATATAATATTTTTAAGTGTTTATTTAATTTTATATTTATAAAATATATTATATTACTAAAAATATTATTTGATCTTTTAATTTAATAAAAAGAGCATTTGATACACTTTCAATGTAAAATTTTAATTCCACTAGCAATTCTAAAAGATTAACATGTCACATTTCTATTTTTAATTAATTTTTTTATTTTTTAAATATATCTTAAGGAGTATATGTTACCTTCTTAATTTCACTTGTGAAATCTAAAAACTCCATTATCAATGTTATTTGATAATTTATCTAATAAAAATATTATATTTATACATAATTAAAATGTAATTCATCATTAATCTATTATATAAATTTTGCTCATTTTGACTATTGTTTGATTTTTATTCAAGTTTTATTTTTTTGCTTTTTTTCAACTTTTTTTTATTTTTTTGTTTTTAATTTAGATAAATTTGGTAAAAAAAATCATTGAAGTTGTCCACTTAACACCCTTATTTGGTTTTTCTTTCTTTTTTGGGGTTTTTTTTTTTTAATTTGATAAGCTTTAAAACAAAAGGAATTGATTGATTGGGATGACAAAAAAATTAGTATTCGATGGATTTCAATCCAACCTAATCCGATAGTAAGATAATTTTTTCTTTATTAAATTAATTTTGTAAGATAATAATGTTAGTATAGGCATTCACATAACACCCCCATTTGTTTATTTTCTTTAAAAGAGTGGTTGGTTCTCAGAATTTTAGATTTTAAAAGGAAAAGTGATCCTAGAAAAAATGATATTAAAGAGAATTTGTGATTCCTAGATTTTGTTGATCTAAAGAATGTAAAAGTTTTTTGTTTGGTTTAAAAGAATTTAATATTACCTAATAAAGTATTATACTACATTGTTCTTGATGACACATGAATAAAATGTTAGATGTAAATAACACGCGAATAATACGCATCACTCATAACATGTAACATGTGAATAACAAGTTATCTTCGTAGAAACTAAATAATTCTAAAAATTAATTTTTTATATTTTCAATAAAAATCATATTTTTTTCTTAAAAATATTATTTTTTTTATTTTGAAAAAAATGTTTTCATATTTTCAACAAAAGTGCATTGTTCGTCTTTAAAATGTTGTATTTGTTGAATTCTGAAAAAAAAAATTCATATTTTTAACAAAAATCGCATTTTTAATCATAACTTTTGTTAGGGATTTCAATAGCACTGTGACTTTGTTTAAAATATAAAAATGATTAAACTTCTTACATAAGAACATAGTGTTTACTAACAAAGACTATGTTTTTATTTAAAAACGTAATGTTTGTTGAAACTATAAAAAAATTTTAAAAAAATTCTCATAATATATCAACAAGCAAAATATAAACAACAAAATATAATTTGTTTCATAATATATTTTCAACAAATATCACATTTTTAATCTAAAACCATGACCTTTATTTAAAATATATTAAGAAAAAAATATTTTGATAATTTTTTAAAAAAAAAAGATATCACATTTCTAAGGTAAATAATGTTGTTTATGTAATTTGAAAATGTAATTAAATGAGGGCAAATAGAAAAGATTTTCACTTTTCCTTTGGAATCTAAAAACTTCAAAAAGAAAATAGTTTTTTTTTTTTCCTACTTTCCCCTTTTTGATATTGATGGAAATCTTAGAAAAACTAAAGGGACGTTTGGTCTAGGAAAAGTAAGATTCCTAACCAAAATCTTAGTTTTCGTAATTCAATTCTTTAGTTTGGTTCATGAAATATGATTTTTGAGACTTTTTAAAATTTTCAGCAATGCCAAAAAATGGGATAATAGGGTAAAAAAAATAAAAACTCTTATCTCCTTAAAGTTGATCTACATATTTTCTCTACGTAGGAACAATCAACGTAAAGATAGTAATTAGAATTGTAAAATTATATTTGTAGAAAATATGAAAAAAAAAATCTTTAATTTTAATAACAACGTATTATGAATGTCACATATTATTCATGTTTCTCAAGAATAATATAGTAAAAGATTTTGTTAGGTAATCTTACATTTCTCTAAACCAAAAACAAAAATCTTACATTCCCTAAGCCAATAAAACTGAAGAATTACATATTCTCATTCAATATCACTTTCTTCCAAAATTACTTTTTCCTCCGGAACTTAAGAATCTATGAACCAAACATTCCTTAAAAAATCACATTACATAAACCAAACTAAGAGATCAAATTATGAAAAATAAGATTCCAACCAAGAATCTTACTTTCACCTAAATCAAACACCTCTTAGTTTTTTTTTTCTTTTTTATGTTTTTTAATTTAATAAATTTTGTAACAAAATAAAATCAGTTCATAGGAATGACAAAATAATCAGTATCTGATAGGTTTTCATCTACCATGATTCAATATGGCGTTTTTGAAAAATTGGTATTGAGTCAAGCTGGATTGATTTTTTTGTTTAAAAAAGTGAATAAGGGTAGTAAGAAATGAATTTATCTCATAATATATATAAAAGCATATATTTTATTATTTATTCAATTACATATGTATTATATTAATAAACTTATTATTTTATACCTTAATTTAAAACATTACCATTTTAAACTAAATTTAAATGTCCAAATGACACCCGATAATCTCTCTTTTGGCTTTTTTTTTTCCTTTTTCTTTGTTATTTTTTGTTTTTTGTGTTTATTGTTTTTTGACTTTTTATGATTTTTTTAATTAATAAAACTATTATTTAATATTTTAATTTAATATATTAATATTTTAAACTCAACCGGGATGTCGTGTTGTACCTAATGAGATTTCTTTTTCCTTTTTTGTTTTTATTTTTATTTTTTATAATTTTTTTAATTAAATTAATTTTGTGAAAAAAAAAGACCAATTAAAGTGTCTATATGATACTCTATTTGACTTTTTTCTTTCTTTTTTTTAAATTTTTAATTAGATAAATTTTACAACAAAAAATATCAATTAATAGAAATGTCAAAACAATTAGTATTTAACATGTTTTTATCCATTTCAATCCTTTAAGAGACGATTTTTTAAAATCGAGATTGAGCTATGACACATTGAGTTTTTTAGAAAAATGAGATTGAGATGAAAATGTAGTTAGGACGTTCTATCTAGTTAGGATGTTCTATCCTAACCCATCTTGGGTTATATATAAAGTATATATTTTATTATAATATTATATTTATAAAATTATAATTTGATATCTTAATTTAAAAAATGAATAGTTTAAACTCAAAGGTGTTCATATTGCACTTCTTATGAGCTATTTTCATTTTGTCATTTTTATTTTTTAAATTTTTTTTTAATTAGATAAATTTTACAAGAAAAAAAAACAAATTGAAATATCCACATGCCACATCTTTAACCTTTCGCTTTTTTTAATTAAATAAATTTTATAATAAAAATTAATAAAAATAATTAACCACAAAATATTTATGCTACTTATTAAAGTACAAATAGCATTATCATCGAAGTTTATGTTTGAATAGACTTGATAATTTCAAACACGATTATATGATAAAAAAATGATACAAAAAAAATTATGTGTTTTAAAAAAATATATTTTATATTTATTCGTATCAACACAAATTTTGACGTGATACAATTCATATCTTATACATGTTGACACATCTAAATATATGACACGTCATGAATAATACGTTTAATTTAATTTTATCATACAAATACATGTTTAACATACTTAATAATTTAAGATGCTTAACATATTTAACATATTTTTTACATTTATTTAAATTTAATATAAACATATAAAGATTATTTTAATTTTTAATCTTTTAATTATAATACTTAATTAATTATTTAATATCATATAAAAATTATTTGACATTTAATTATGATACTCATTTAATAATTATTATAAAATTATTTTTTATATTAATAATATAAATACAATATAAATATTAATATTAGTCCTATATATTATTATTTTATTTTTTTAATCATTAATAGTTCATCATTTTGAATTTGATACTAAAAATTAATATAATTATGTAATATATATTAAAATTAAATACATATTAAAATACATATTAAATGAGTATTAATTTTTTTTTATTTTTTAATATATAAGTATTTTTTTATATTATTAATATGTCAAATTTATTAAATTGTAAATGATAGATAATTTATAATTATTTATTAGTTTAGTCATATTTTTGTATATATTCATTTTAATTAGATCTATTCATGTATATATGTGTTAATCATATCTATTTATATATATTTATATTACTCATATAATATTTAAATGAATTAATTATACACATGTCTATTATATTATGTCACATGTAACACTTATAATAAATATATCGTATTTGTGTTTAAAATTTAAACACATTTTATAATTCATATTATGTTTATATTTTAATAATTTATATTATTATATGTATCAAATACGAGACAAAACACGAAACCAAAATATACGTTGTCAAATCTATGTTTCAGGATGGAAGATAATATTATATTTTTCACAGAGCCGGCAGACATTTAAGCTCATTTCGATAGGCTTTTTATTATTTTTTCTATTCACTAATCCATATTATATATGTTCTTTCCAAAGAAACAAACACACGTATGTGTGTATATATATATATATATATATATATATAAAGCACGAAACCAACTTTCAAGAATCCAACAGAAATGAATGTTTATATATACCCACGAGCAATTATAGAAAAAGGCAGAATTTCAGATTGTAATCAACAGGGACCAGTAGATATACATTCCCATCATATATCAACCCTTTTAGAAAAACAGTTGCTCTCTGTCTTACGCTATAATAGATGAACATAACATACGCATCCATTTGATTATGATATGTGCCATAGAAGAAGTGCAGAGGACCTATATATTAAACCAAACCACATGATGTAAGGAAACTTGACAAACTTTGAAGCTTTGTCACCTACCAACGGCTAAAATGATATTTATTACCTATGACACATGAGATGTAGGTGTAAAAGACAAGTGAAAATCCCAAAGATCCAGCTGATAAAAATTTTGCTAACCAAGACTGGGAGAACGAACCAAAAATGGAGGAAGATGTTGCTCCAAAATAGCTAAAAGCTCTCTGCCTTGGCTTACCTCTTCTAATGCCCCACCTCCAAGCATTCGAACAGCTTCAACAAGCTGCCCCCTCAGCCTTTGCGATAACAGACGACCACTCACCTCAACACACTCCCTGTAGAGTGGCATGTATGCAATTGCCACCCTCAAAGGAGCTGGGAGATCCCTTAAGCAAATTGGAGATTCCCCCCTCTTCAAAATCCTCATTAGGTTCATATAATGTTCTTGGCCTTGCTTTAATCCATCCAAGAAAGCTGCCTCTGACCAGTGCTCTTGAACAAATGCCTTCAGCTCAGGAGCAACAGCTTCATCATCAGACCTAGCAATGCTGTCTGCAACAGCATAAGTAGCAGCAACATCACCTAAGAAGTCAGAGTGGAGGAGAAATGCCACACCATCCAGAGATCCACCACTTCGTTCACCCGCAGCCTTGAGAATTTCGATGCTGAGGGCTGCAAGCACATGCTGAGGAACATGAGGGAGGAGATATGCAGCCACATCAACTTGGCTGCTGGAAGTAGCTGCAGTGAGGGCTAGACAGAGCTCCATGTCTCGACAACTCCTTTTAACAAACCACTGGACAACCTGCATGGAGCCTCTTTCAGCTGCTCTCATTAAAGGTCCCAAGAACGCCATGGCATTACCTTCTTCCACTAGACACTCCATAGTTCCAATCTTGCAGTAATGTGAGGCAAAACCCAAGGCAAGATCAACATCAACATCCAAGCTGTTCCGTTGGGCAATCTATAGACCAGACAAATGCCACATAACCAAACAAAGATAATTAAGGAAATGTCAGTAAACAGTAAAATACTAATAAAACTCCTTTCTCTTATCAATTAAAAAAGCCTTCTCTCGTCACAAAAGAAGTGACAGCACGCCTGACTTCCCATGGTTAACAACAAAGAGTATAAATCTTATACGGGCATGATTCTTGCTTGGGTTTTTAATTTGGGTTTTCTGTGGAATCTTTAAGGCATCATCATGTCTAAACAGGAACAAGTCAGTACATTTTCCCACAGGAGCATTCCCATTCACTTCTATGTTTTTCCAATCTATTTGGTTATGGCTCCCTCACCACATTTAAGAGAGAGAGAGAGAATAGCAAACTTACACAGTATAGGAATAAAATGGAATGCTCCCACATAACTAGTTCAGACTATATTTAACTCCGCAAAACTTCTGCTTATGTAGGGATTTAAACTACTATCTATAGATACCTTTCATTATCCCTGTTATCTCCAAATTGAAATTAGCATACATGCATGAACCCCGAATAATTCCATGACTACAAGTAACTAAATCTAAAGCGTGTACAGTGAGATTTTGTTCAAAAGGAACTAAGAATCTTGTACTGTCCAAGGACAAGATAAATCGTGAGAATCAATTTTCAAACATATTAATGCTCCCTATATAGCATATACACAGTAGCACTAATCTTTTCACCCTACTTTAATAAAAGCAAATCTGATTCAGATTGGTTACAGGTTCAATTGGAAAGAGCATCAAATTAACCTTCACGACCATACAATCACTCACAGGACAACACCTTGGTCAATGTCAATGCATATTCAACAAAGAACGAAGAAATTTGAAAAAAGTAGCACGAAAATGTTGGGATTGCAAATCTCTCCCCCAAAAGAAGGAACATATGGATGCATGTGATCAACAGGACATTAAAGTAGGTGCAGAATGTCACTAGTACACAGAAAGCACTCACACAAGCATCCCTGTATCTTTGAATTTTGAACTCTACTACCATATAATTCTTCACAAATACTATATCGAGAGAAATCTTTGCATGTTTAATATTTCATTCCCTATACTAATTATGACAACAGAACAAGAATATTTTTGCTCATTATAATAATAACACATACAGGGAAAGCATGCAGGCAGTGTGAACCCACCTGATTGATTTAATTACCCTTAACAATATTGCAGCATTAAACAGAATGCTGGGGAGCACATTATCAAAACAAAATGGACTAGACTTGCCAATTTGTAGTTCAATTTTTGACACAGTCAAAAGGTTATACACCTCCTTTTCCCAATTAATTTGAAGCATAAGTTTCAACTCGTTCCTTTGATCCAAAGTAAAACCTTGGACTCTGGAAAATACTTGAAGAACATGCACAGAAACAAATAAGACAAAAATTCAAATCTCATCCTGAAAAATAAATACACACCTGCAATAATATGCGGACAAGTTCTGTACTTCCAAACCGAGAGGCTTCAAGGAAACACTGGTTAACATTATCAGCACCCCCCTCCACCAACATATCCAACAATCCTTGGATCACAGTAGCCGAGATCCCAGAAGCCCAACCAGCATCAAACGAACTAGAGAAGAGAGTAAGAGGAAAGCAAGCTGCATCAAATGCCTCTGTAAAATCCTTCCCTGTAAGTTGGTTGCCAGCAAGATCTAGGAATGTCTTGAATGCAGTTAACTGGAGTTGAATTTCAATAGCTGAGCAATGATTCACTCTATCATTGTTACCCTGGCAACGAGAATGGGAACCTATACATTTCAAAGCCCATTCAGTGAACTTTTGGACTTTGGCACCAGCTTCTGCCTTCAAGACCTCATCCCCATGGCACTCTTGGAGGCGCTCATGTAACCTAATCAGAAGCGAAATGGAAATTTGGCACATACACCATGAATAACCAGTTAGGTAGGGTCTTCTACAAATATGAGGAAAAAGCAAATGCAAACTCCATTTTGTATCATGCAGTTTCTATAGATGAAGTTGTGTCTTCCTTATGGTTACGAAATGAAATACATTTCTTTACCAGTTGCAGGGCTGATACAAATACACAACAATGGTTCTATAAATATCTAGATGTAAGTTTGTTTGCATATAAAAAGACACCCATAAAGAGCATCAACTGGCATGAGGAAAACATTAAAGCAGCAACTATTTTGAAGTTCATTTCAGATTCTTTTTTTCCAGCAAATGTGAAATCAATGACATAGGATGGACTGTGTATGGGATGTGCATCTTTCTTTAGACCTACCTTAAATAAGCCATCTCTCTAGCTTACAATAAGCCACACATAAACACTCCAAATTAGCATCAACTGGCAGGAGGAAAACATTAAAGCAGTAACTTTTTTGAAGTTCATTTCAGATTCCTCTTTTCCAGCAAATGTGAAATCAAGAACATAAGATGGACTGTGCACAGGATGTGCATCTTTCTTTAGACCTACCTTAAATAAGCCCTCTGTCTAACTTACAATAAGCAACACATAAACACTTCAAATTCAAATAACTGATTCAAAGCCAATTTTGTTAGTTGAATTCAAAGCTTACTTCCTTCAGGGAAAAAAAGGTTAGATGGTTCATTCAATCAGATTTACAGAAAAGGAAAATAACTTTTAATTCAGTTCTCAAAAACTAACTAGGCCAGAAGCAGTAAGAAATGCACAATAGTAAGCAATCCTTGTACGAAGAACAAAAATGCAGTGAATATAATTCAACAAAAATTATAGTTTCATGATTGTAAAGCGTAATTAAACCGAATACAGTCTCATGAGTGTTGGCAATCCATATGCATGAAAACATTAATAAAACTAATGCCTTAGCAATGGGTATTCCAACATTTAAAATATAGCACAAGCACCATAAAAACATATCCATCAGAAGCAAATACTTAACAAGAAACAATTTTGCGTCTAATACATAAACACATAAATGATGGCAAGTAAAATTGAAGTTAAAATTTGCAGATAGGCATATCTGATCGCTATTAGTGGAGCATATAAAAACTTGGAATGAAACTTGTGTTTGCCTATAAAGAAATCAAAGAAATGCATGATAACTCAACGCCAACATGTGTTTGCCTTGTTACAACATTAATGCTTTTTCAAGATATCTTTAAAGAAGCATCTATTATCGATGTACTAGTCAAAAGAATCAGCTCATTTACCTTTGGGCCATGACAGTTACAGTGTCGGCAAGACTCATTGTGCGACTCTGGCAAGCAGAGACACAAGAAGCAAGAAATGAAGTCCGGAGAGCAGCTCTAGTAAAGTCATAAGCACCATTAGCAATGATCTTCTTAATCAACCCCGTAATCCCATAGAGCTCCTGCTGGGTGCTCAAAAACCAGATAGCATCCAATGTGACACACAATGCATCATTTAGAGTCTGTGGATCAGCCAACAAGATTAAACTCTCAGCAAGTTCCCAATCATGGGAACTCACAGCCCCCAGAAATAATTGCCCCAACTCAACCCTGTCTTGTCTGCTGAGTTTCTTGTCATGCCCAGATTTTGCCTTCTGGCAGAACTCAGACTCTTTTGCAGTCACCCTAGATTTGAGTTTCTTAAGACTACAGCTACAAGTACCAGATGTTGTTGACTCTTTACTTACAAGGGGTGCCTCTCTTGAGAAAACCACATTGCTTGCCTCACCATTTTCCAATGGAAAGCCTTGAATTTCACTGTTGGGTCGTCCCATTTCAGTCTCCTCAGTATCCATTCCATTGAACCAGGGCTCCTCTAAGTGCATGTTTTCACTCCCCACAACAAATTCGATCCCTTTTTCCATTACCTCCACTATACAATTGGGCCAATCCTCGGCAACCAACAAAAGTGACAAAGAAAGCCAACACTTAACTCTCAACCCTCCAGAACAAAAAAAAAAAAAAGAAAAAGAAAAAAAAGATCAAATCCTCAAAAGGCACGAAACTGTAAGAAAAAGATGAAGAGAAAATGTGTCCTCAAAAACCTAGATGCATGCCTCTAGCACCAAATCCAACTGAAATCCAAAAAGTTCTGTATGCTTAATTATAATTTTCTAGTGTCCAAAAATACCAGCAAAATTCAAAGATTAAACCTCAATTCCCAAAAAATAAAATAAGATAAAAATAAAGGAAACCCATAAGGCATAAAAAGTAGAGAATGCCCAGAGCAATAGTAACTCTTCCCAAAACGATCTAACTGATTTGATACCAATAGAAAGAAAACTATTAAACGTAGCAAAGACGATAGGGACGAGAAAATCTAGCGCAGATGCCCGTTAAAAGCATGAAATGGGTATCCGTATAAAACCCTAGAAGACCTTGTTCCTCTCAAAACTATCCCACCCAAATAAAACAAGAAATCCAGTTTGATCAAGGAAGAATCATGATGAAAAGGATTGAGAGACAAAAGGCGTGAATTTGGTAGTAAAAAAAGTGCAATAAAAATGGTGAGAAATTAAGATAGGAAACCTGAGTATTGGAATGGAGATTGAATGGGAGATAGGGAGAAAGAGAAGGAGAGACAGACAAAACCCCTCCGCCGCTGTTGTATGGCTTTCAGGGATACTTTTTTGTTAGATAGATACGTACCAAAACAAACTAAAATTGCTGCCTCTTGTTTTCTTCCATTTTCCGTTTTATATTTTCCTTTTTTTTTTTCAGCTTTCCTTTTGGCTTTTAATCTCACTTCTAGCCACTTGAATGTCCCCAAAAATATAGTTAAATCCAATTAATTACTTCCTTTTATACTTCTTATTAATTAATTTTTTTAGAAATAAAAGGTAGGATCTTTATTCATTCATAAAATTATTTTTCCTGAAATTATGAATCGTTTTTACTTTTTTCGTATATTATAATGTTTTCCTATATCTTTTTTTCTTTTGATATTTTTGGATTTAAACATAATTATGACTTTGGGTATTTTCTTTTTTTTTTAATTTTTTTAATATCATTTGCCATGGAATTATGGTTTTGAATTATTTAAAGAAAAAGTATTAAGTTTTTTTTAATCAATTTTTTTTTCAGAAAAGAGGAAATAAAGAGATAAAGAAATAAATTGTGAATAAAAAGGTTTAAAAGAAATAAAAAAAATTAATTAAAGTATAATTTGCATAGCTGAAAGAAAAATAAAAAATAAAATAAAGTATAATTAACAACACGAGAATCCTAGATAAATCATTTAAGTTGATGTTTTATAAGATTTTCAAAATCATCGTCATAATTTAATCATCAATGTAATTTTATTATTAAAATAATTTTATCATATGTGATCTAAAATAATTTTGTTTGATTAATAATCATTCATTTTTAAGGTCAAATTGTTTTGTTAATATGATGTATTAAATAGATAAAATTAATTATTAAATTATGTAAATAATTTTTATACATACATAAAATTTAAAATTTAATACATCTAATATTATTTCATAAAATTCTCGTCCATGTACTAGTTCAATTTAATAATACTAATCTAATTACTAATAAGATTCTTTTTTTTAACTTAAAAAATCATATTTTAATAATTTTAAATATTTTAATTTTTTATCATATTTTTTAAATTTATTTTTTAAAAAATTTCTAGGTTTTTTTAAAATATTAATTTATCTTTTTTACTATTTTAATTTTTTAAAATAAGATTCATTTTTTGAAATTTTAACATTTTATTTAATCAAAATATTTAATTTTGTTTTTAAATTTTTTGGAATTTTTAAAAAATTTTCTAAAATTTTTAATCTTTTGTGTTTTTAGAAATTTTTTATATTTTTTAATATTTAAATGAATAAATAAATTATAAGGAAGATACATATATTTAAAATTTATTCTGTTTTAATATATTTGAGGTCGAAAAACATAAAAATCTAAAGTAAAATAAAGTAATAACGAAGCATGAAATTTTTAATTCCGATTTATTCCTTGCTAAATAACATAGAAAATGTGTAAAAAATTTTTAAAACTTATAAACGTTTTTTCTTAATTTAAAAAAATAAAAAATTATGAAAACATAAAAATTTAAAATATAAAAAATTCTTGAAATTTCTTTAAAATTATTAAAAATTAAAAATATTAAAATTAAATATTTCATTTAAATAAAATGTTAAAATTTGAAAAAATACAAAAGCTTTCAAAATTTGAAATTTTAAAAATGAAATATTTAAATTTAATATTTTAAAAAATTTTAGAAAATTTTTAAAACTGCAAAATATTGATTTAAAAAAAATAAAATTAGATTTTATAGAATCCAAAAATATGATTTTTAATAAACCAAAACATTGATTTTTAAAGAATTAAAATATGAATTTTTAAAAAACAAAAAATATAATTTTTATTAATAATTAAACCGATACTATTAAATTTAACTTATACAAAATAAGATTTTTATAAAATTATATTAGAAAAATTAAAATTAAAATTATTAAGTGCACTAATTATTTGTGTAATTTAATAATTGATTTAATCAATGTAAGTTGCTATGTTAGCAAAGCTAACGTCATATCATTAAGTTAATGATTTTGTTAGTATTTTTAATAGTAAAAAATTAACGAAATTATTGATTTGATTAAAATTATCAAATCAAAATAATTTAAAAATTAAATTTATGAATAATTATTTATTTTAAATTATTAAGTACGATATATTTTATTGTAATTTAAGAGACTAAAAATTTTATCTCTTCTCAATTTTTTTAAAAAAAATATAATAAAATCGTTATAAGTGTCTACGAGAGAAATGAGAATGAGAATGAGAATCATCTTTTTCTCTCTCCGTGTCTGTTTTCTTCTAATTTCTTCTTCTATCTTCTTTTTGTTTTTATTCTGAAATTATTCTATTTTTCTTGTGGAATCAAATTTTCTAAGCAGTTCACTTTAGTTTTGGCTAAAGAGTTGCTCAAATTCGACAGTGAAGACAGTAAGATTTACCCTGTGTGTGAGTATTATTATTCGATTTTTTTTTTATCTATTTGGCTGCTTGGACAAATGAGGAAAATTAGCTTGTAAAGTGTGTGTAGATAATCATAATATTTCTTGTGATAGCATTGTCTAAAATCAAACCGATAAAATATTATGCTTAAATTTAGCTTAATCCAGTGAAAGATAATGAAGTATTAAAATTCAAATATGATATTTAGTGCAATATTTTTTTATTGATTAAAAAAAAAAAAAGAAATTGATGTGGTTCCTTTTCTTTTTTTTTTCCTTTGTTTCAAGTAATACTAGGGAAAAAAGCATCAGTAAATATATTACCCACAATTTCATCCGATTTTCTTGTTTTGTTTCTTCTTTAATGTTTTGCATATTCAAATAATTATACGAGAAATTCTTATCACAAATATTTTGAAAGTAAAATACCTTTTTGTTTTGATTGAGAGATTAAATTAAAGATTTATTTGTTACGTAAAATTTTTTAATCCAGTTGGTAACATAAAAGTAATTTTATAAGTAAAATTATAACATATCATTGTATTAAAGGTCACGCCATCTGATCAATTATCATTTCATACAATTTAATAAACGAAATTTAATATTATTTATTATTAAATTAAAATTCAAAATCTCAAAAAATAAAAATACTTTTAATATTAAAATTAATGTAAAGAGATTAAATTTATATTTTGTCACAAGTATATAGGTTTATAATATAATTTTACCTTTTGAAAAATAAATTTTGTTCATATGATAATGCTACATGATATCTAACAATTAATGTATTGTTGTCAATTTAGTATATTATTAAAAATTAATGATTGAATAATAATAAAATATTTATTCAAATTTTAATAAATAAATTAAAATTGTTAATATTTTAATAATCATTTTAAAAATATTATTTTAATAGAGTAATTAATGATATAATTTACGCAAATAATAATAGCTATAACCATTTATTAGGACATATTTGATGTATACGATAATTAACCGCTTGCCATTCACAATTAATTATCCATTTCTCCTTAAATAAGCAAAGCATATCTCATCTCTCGTCAATATCAGTCAATCAACTAACAAAGAGAAATACTATAATAAAATCTAAACTGACTGACCATATCCGAAAACCTAACCCCTAGCACTGTCTTTGCTAATAATTGGGAGCAGCACGAAAGGCAGCCCATAGCCATGGATGAAGAGTACGATGTCATAGTGCTGGGAACTGGTCTCAAGGAATGCATCCTCAGCGGTCTTCTCTCTGTTGACGGACTCAAGGTCTTCTTTTTCTTCGTCTTCTGTATTTTGCAATCAAATATTTTCAATCTTCTTTCGTTAGTTTTATTTACTTTATTAAAAAAATTGATTTCTGATCCTAGATCTTGATGGGTGGATGTTAGATTTGTGTACCGATCTCTTGGATCTTGGTGCCTTTGATTAAGTCAAAGACCAGGGCTATCTTTGTTTTTGTCTTTCTGGTCCTTTGCCTACACCGTTACTTATCATCGCGGTTCACCAATTAGGATTTTTCCTCTAAAATTTCCAATCTTCTAATAGGCAGTAGCTGCAATAATGCAATTACTGAAATAAACCAATATATGATTTAATCATGGGATGCCAATTATTAACATGTTCCAGCCAAATTGGAAAATTGGTTAGATCCTGCTTGTTAATGGATAATCGGAACTCATATTTTAAAAGATGATCACCACAAGTTCTTCAGCAATCGGATATTTTAGAATTGGAGTAAAATCTCAGTATCATCTTACAATCCCAATTGCATGCATGACTAACCATACCCAGCTTTTTAATATAATTCTAAAAATGGTTGTTCTAAGGTAAATCAAATCTTCTATATAAGCTTGGTTTTGGTTAATGCTCTTTTCTTGTGAAAGGAATATGCAACTTGTTTCTTGTATAAAATTGATTCAGAAGTAGAAAAAGTTATTGTTTCGCTCTTTTTGAAACATACCTTACATTTCTATATAGTTACTACATTATTGCATTTTTTTACTGTTTTCATTTGGTACTATTCATCTTGCATTAGGTTCTCCACATGGATAGGAATGACTACTATGGAGGAGAGTCTACATCACTCAACCTCATTCAGGTTCCACTTTCTGCAAAATCAAAACTCTTAGCCAATCTGTTGATTTGTTTTGCATTTTCTTTTTATTGATTTAGTTCTTTAAATTAATTGTTGGTAGCTCTGGAAGAAGTTTAGGGGAAATGATAAGCCTCCAACTCATTTGGGCTCTAGTAGAGATTATAATGTGGACATGATCCCTAAGGTGATTTTCCCTTTTAATGCCTTGCACTTTTTGTAGCTTTTATTCTTTTGCATCCAATATGCTAACATTTTGTTATTCTTTGAACTAGTTTATGATGGCAAATGGTACCCTTGTGCGGGTGCTCATTCATACAGATGTTACAAAGTATCTGTACTTCAAAGCTGTGGATGGTAGCTATGTTTTTAATAAAGGAAAGGTAGAATATCTTCTTTGAACATTTCAATTTGCCTCTGCTTGGGCGTCATATATATATATGTTTTGTTATTTATCCTCTATTTTTGTTTTCTACCCATTTTAATAGGTTCATAAGGTGCCAGCAACTGACATGGAGGCACTCAAATCTCCACTTATGGGAATATTTGAAAAACGTCGTGCACGGAAGTTCTTCATATATGTTCAAGATTATGATGAAAAGGATCCTAAAACCCATGAGGGAATGGACTTGACAAGGGTGACAACTAGGGAGTTAATTGCGTAAGGGCCTTGTTTCCCTTTATCCTACTTCTTTTGTCTGAGCATGTGTTTGTGTGTAGCCTAATATGCACTCACAAATACTAAAATTTTTCTTTATACTTCTCTCCTTTCGATTGGGGCATACCTTTGCATTTGGTTTGGAGTAAAGATATTCTTTTGGTATTTTTTCTCCCTCATTTTTTTTCTTTTGGACCTGCATCTCTTCAATGAAATACTGCTGGCCTTTTCTGTTTGGCAATGACTTTTAGATAATAGAGCAACCTAGGTCATTTTGCATATCATAGAGTTTACTGTTTTTTCCAGGAAATATGGTCTTGATGGTAACACTGTGGACTTCATTGGTCATGCATTGGCGCTTCACAGAGATGATCGCTATCTGGATGAACCTGCATTGGATACTGTAAAGAGGATGAAGGTGATTGATGCTTTGAGTTCGTAGTTTATATTTGGTTGAAAGTTCAGCATTATTATTGATAGCCTGAATTCATTCTCTCTTTTTTATTTGATAGCTCTATGCGGAGTCTATTTCTCGTTTTCAAGGTGGATCTCCATACATTTATCCGCTGTATGGATTAGGCGAGCTGCCCCAGGTTCTCCTCACTCTCTTTCTCAATTTTGTTTCGACTGTTAGGTGGTGCTGTATGATAAATTTCTTATATTTCTCCTTTGGAATAACTCAGGCTTTTGCACGGCTTAGTGCTGTATATGGTGGAACATATATGTTGAATAAACCTGAGTGCAAGGTCTGTGGTGGTGTTTGTTATATTTCTAATCTCTCTTCCTTTATATTATTGCTGGTCCAAGTTTTCATGAAATTTCTGTGGCCGGAATGAGATACATTACCTTATATTTGTGTCATGCTGTATTGCAAGGTGGAGTTTGATGATGAAGGCAAAGTTAGTGGTGTCACATCTGAAGGTGAAACTGCTAGGTGTAAGAAAGTTGTTTGTGACCCTTCCTACTTGCCGGACAAGGTAGTATTGTGCTACTTTTCTTTTTCTTTACTTTAGCATTTCCGTCATTGGAAAGCCACATAACTCATATCTTGTGGAGTTCTTCACCTTCAGTCATTTTAAGGAATGTGGAAGAAAGAACTCTTCCTTTCTCAACAGGTTCACTTGCCTGCATTCAAACATTTTATTTTCCTGCTGAACCTCTTCTTAGTTATGGTTGAACCTTGATACCCTTTTCCAATGAGAAGGATGAGATTTCCCTGCATTTAAAACTTGGCCCAGACAAATGAAATTGGCTTGCAATCACCATTTTACAAAAGTACTTTTAACAAGAAAAACTTCTGCCTTTCTCAAATCTTTATTTAGAAACAAATGGAACCTAAGAGATGCTATACATTTACAGAAAAGATTGTGGAATGTAATTCCATAGTGGCTTATTTTTGAACTAGTGAATTTGAAGTAAGAAGTTGATTATTTCATGATTCTCATGAACTTCTGTCTGCTCAAACAGGTTAGAAAGATTGGTAAGGTTGCAAGGGCAATTGCTATTATGAGTCACCCAATTCCAAACACCAATGGTTCTCATTCAGTGCAGATCATCCTGCCACAAAAGCAGTTGGGTCGCAAATCAGACATGTAAGTAAACATTGGATTTTTTTTTTCCTTCAGATGAAGTTTTGATTAAGTAAAATATGGTTGACTCTCAGTGATTTGAACATCTATGAATTTTGCTGTTTGATTGAATATAACTATATCTGGCCCCTTTACTGGCCCTGGCATCCTTGATTCTGAGACAGAGTTCCTTCTGCAGGTTTTTGGAACTGCTAAAGAGAATACTTGATTCTATTCTTTAGTGTTTGGGTTTTGGTTTATTTCCTAGGACGGGACTCGGAAAACAAATTTTATTGTTAAATATTTTAATTAGCTAGGATTTGTACCTGTTCTTTCTCCCTTTTTTGCTTTGCCAACTGTTCTTTGGGTTTAATATTCCTAGGAGCAAGTCAAGAATAATCCAACCTTTGGGTTGTAGTCTTCAAGCTGAGCTTCTCGTAATTTTGACTCTAGAAGGATAATTTTCTGATGAAACAAATTTGGTTTCAAGTCTTTGGAAAATTGGAAAATGTCTTCTTCTTGATAAGCTAGATTCCCTAGCCTAGATGTCTGTATGCTACTTTTTGTGGAAAAGAAAAAAGTTTCCAGAGGATGTATTACATGTAGAGGTTTGCTAATTGAAGCATTGTGAAATTGCTTACTTTAGTTTATAACTGATGCTGCCATACATCCAACCATTTGACGTGCTCCCCCTTGTTTGCTTTGCCAACTGTTCTTTGGGTTTAATATTCCAAGGAGCGAGTCAAGAATAATTCAGCCTTAGGGTTGTAGTCTTCAAGCTGAGCTTCTCGTAATTTTGACTCTAGATGGATAATTTTAGGATGAAACAAATTTGGTTTCAAGTCTATGACAAATTGGAAAATGTCTTCTTCTTGATAAGGTAGATTGCCTAGCCTAGATGTCTGTATGCTACTTTTTGTGGAAAAGAAAAAAGTTTCCAGAGCATATATTACATGTAGAGGTTTGCTAATCGAAACATTGTGAAATTGGTTACTTTATTTATAAATGATGCTGCCATACATCCAACCGTTTGACGTGCACCCTCTTAAACTAAACCTTGAAAAAATGGAAGGCTCATATTTTATAAACTTAAGCTGAGGCAACTTGAGGGACAACCTGGAGAAATTGGAAGGAACACATTACTGATTATGATAGTTTTTGCTGCTTTTCTTTTGTTTTTGACCTAAATTTTAGGATTGTTGTGTGTCTGAGCAGGTATGTCTTCTGTTGTTCATATTCTCACAATGTTGCTCCAAAAGGCAAATTCATTGCATTTGTTTCAACAGAGGCTGAGACAGATCACCCTGCGACTGAACTAAAGCCTGGAATTGACCTTCTAGGTCCTGTTGACGAGATATTCTTTGATATCTATGACAGATATGAACCAGTCAATGAACCTTCTCTAGACAATTGTTTCATATCAACAGTGAGAATCTTTAGTCGCACTAGTTTGTTTAAGTGGTCTATTTGTTGGCTTTCTGCTGAGAATAATTGTGGCTGCATGCTAATTACTATGTGCTTATCTTTGACAGAGTTATGATGCTACAACACACTTTGAATCAACTGTCATGGATGTACTTAACTTGTATACCATGATAACTGGAAAGGTAAGCTTTTCTTTTTTGTGGTTATCATTGGTTCCACTCTATGATCAATTCATGTACTCATATGTAAAAAGTTATTGGTTAAATTTCAATTGTTCTGATGGACAATAGTTTCTAGACTTCGAGTTTTTAGTAAAAGCTTCTTGACTTAAGAACCAAGATTGATTACTAAACAGTTTAAGGCTTTAAGCATTTTTAATCAGTGCCTTTATGTGGTATTGCTGTTGCACATAAATTAATTAGAAAGGAAAAGAAATAAGTAGAGAAGTTAGCAGAGTTCTGAAACCTGTAAGTTCCTTTGGAAGTTGTCCCAGCTACTTTAGAAAACAAGAAATTTGCATAAATAATCTCTGAACTACTGTTCATTAACTGAAATCTCCTCATTCCTTCAATTTGAAAATGTAAAAAAGTTGGTGGCCACACATTTAACAATTAACAGTTAAGACCCTATCTTTGTCTATCATTAGAAAATTTGTTAAATCACCACATCAGATTCCAAGTAAAGCCTATGTGTTATGTGCTTTTATATCATTTGCCATTTTTTTGGCCTTTTTTTTTGTCTTTTTGTTGTTTCTCTTTACACTTTTATCACTGCACTTTTCTTGCTTCTCCTTACCTTGCTCTCTCTATCTCTTTCCTTGATTTCTGCTTCCTACTGGCATTCACTCCTACACCTAGACTTACATAAGACTTGTTTCCACTGATGTAGCCTGAAAATTCGTGCTGTGGCTACTTCCTACGCATACCACACCACCCTTTATCTCTATCACGTTCTTTCTTTTTTTTTCCCCTGATTTCTGTCTCTATGTTCATCTTGCTACTAACATGGTTTTGCATCATTGAATTTAATTTCTGTTGTTTGAGTTGAAATCTGTTGCCAAATTTGATTGAATATTATTGTTGCCAAAAGGATGGGCTTTGATCTATGTTTTTGGTGTGACATCTTGTGTTACAGTGCTTTATGTTTTGGGTTTAGTTGTACAGAGGAAATTAGTGAGAGCAGTGAAGATGAAATAGATAACACTGTGAAAGGAGGGAGATAAACAGAAAAGAAAAAAATGGAGGGTTTTAGTTTCACTTGGGAGAGCAGCATGGGAGAACACAGTGAGGGAGTGCAGTTTAAAGGGAGTGGTGGACGGATAGAGAAGCCCGGAAATTTGATGAAGATAAGACAATTAAAAAAGAATAAGAAAAAGAAAAATAAACAAACCACTGGCGACACTTTGCAAATGGGCTGCATTGTCTGGATTGCCACCATTTTATGGAGTAGCATAGGGCTTTAGGGAGACAAGTAGACTTGCAGAAAGGAGTGGAGAAAGAAAAAAGAGTTAACAGTGTGATTGATTGGAAGGAGACGAGCATAAAAGAAAACACGGAAAAAGAGAGTTTCTGATGCAGTTGTCTGAGCAGCATGGGGGAACTCTGAGGGAGCGCAGTGGATAGAGAGAGGGAAGCCTGGAAATTCGAAGAATTTAAGAGAATAAAAAAAAAAAATAAATAAATAAAAGAAACTGAAACCATTGGTAGCAACTTTTCAGATGGGCTGCACTGCCTTGATTCCCACCATTTGATGGAGTAGCATACAACTTTAGGGAGTAAACTTGAAAGAGGAAGGAGAAAGAAAAAAGAGAAATATTAAAGAATAGAAATGAAAATGTAAGATAAAATAAGAGAAAAGATAAAATTTAGTCTTTTGTAATAGAATTTATTTCAACTTCATATGGCAGTCCAAATTTTGGAACGTGACATGATGTGGCAATTACATAGACAAATAGCTTGTTACATGGCAATTGCTGTGGTGGCCTATGTGGCATATTTAACGTCTTTTTATGGAAGGACTTAAATGTTCACATTGACAGAATGGAGCTATTAGTTAAATGAGTCAAAGTTCAGGGATGATTTATGTAATTTGCCCTCAGGAAATTGTTGTTTAGCACTAAGTAATAAAGAGCTTGATTATATGTTGCTGTTTTTATTACTCTACGCTAATGCCACGTTAAAATTGACTATTTTTGAGCAGGTGCTTGACCTCAGTGTGGATTTAAGTGCTGCCAGTGCTGCAGAAGAATAATGACCCTAAACCATAGTGTTTGCCAATGTTTGTGCTTGTTTAAGTTTCCTACAGTGTTGAATGTCGCTGGTGGGATTTATTTGTCTACCTGAAGTTGGGTTGAACATTTCAGTTTTCTTTTATAGTACTTATCACACTATATTTAATAGTATGATATATTTAAATGTTTGTTGGAGCTCAGTGCGTAGATTAAATACATATATGGTATGGCTCTGCATGTGTTAAAGGCTTGGATAAGCATGACATGAAGCCTTTGTTGCTTTGCATTGATGATGGATTTTTCTTCTTTTTTCTTTTATAGAAACAGCTGTGTGCCTTTCAGGTAGAGGTTAAAAAAGAAAAAAAAAAGAAAAGAAAATGAGAAAGAAGGGTATTTTAAAAAAAATTGGGTTGCTGTAACTAAAGTCAATCAGAGAAGAATTATTTCAGACTTCTAGTGCAGTAGCCTCATGTTGACAGTGATTTGGAAGATGATCAGTCATCGTTCTCGATGTCAAAAGCTTCCAGATCTGGCATGGATGGGTTCGATAGATTCGTCAGATTGTTTTTTTGTTATTCTCAATAACAATAGGCTCTTCTCAAGTTTCTTGGCATTGCGAAGGGTTAAGAAGAGATCTATTTATAATTTTTCTTCCATTTTCATTTTTATATTTAAGGACATGACTTTTACGGTCTTAGCAATTTAGTCCTGTACGCTATAATTCTTTTATTTCATTTTTTTAAAAGTAAGTTTAACTTAATTGATGAACATCATATTAATTTGGTAATGTTAGCTTATATGTGTGATTCATAAGACTTCTAATATGTTGGCAATGGATATAATATCAAATGGATCAAGACTAATCACCGTATATTTATATATCATGAATGATATCTAGTAATATATTATGATTACTCAAATATTAGAAAGTTAAGAAAGTTTTGATTTAACAAGTCATAGTTCAATTTATCAATGTAATTGGGTATTTTCATCATATATCTCAAAAGGTTATTAGCATGGTGCAATGTCTACTTATAAAGTGTTTGATATTAGTTTTTGTAACTTCTAGTCAAGATGTATGAATTTAGTATGAAACTATTTTCATTAAATTTATCATCATGCTTTGGTCGAAGATTTTTATGTTAACTAAAGCCAAGAACAAATTATTTATGTCCCCTCATATCACTTGTGGTAATGGATCTTTATTGCTCACTTGTCTAGCTTCATATGCTTCAGATCTTACTCAAAAATATTTTTTTAGACATCAAACACTTTGATCTATAGAGGTGAAGTCAAAGCAAGATGAGTCACATATAAAATGATATGGTATCTCTAGTTTAAAGATTAGTTACACTAATAACATGTGAGAACACTTTTATAGATATTGAGTGAGATACTAAATGAAGTTCTCATAATGAGTCAGGTTTAATGAATTTGTTCTCTATCTTCTTTGACAAGCATACATATGTTATCTTTAAGTATATCCATACTTACGAGATCGATTACTTACTCCAAATACAAGGAGGCTTAACATGTACCAGTCTTTAAGCATTGTTGATGTCTTATCTCAACAATACATTGATCAAGAATAATTAGTTACACAGTTTTGATGTATAAGGATCTCATAATTGTAATTTTTTACAATTCCTTTATAAGACTATTTTGTTTCATGGGTTTCATCCAATTAGCACCTTGTTAACTTTTTACTCATGACTATTAATGGAGAAAAATCTTTTAATCCCTAGAACATAATGATTGATGTAACTTAGTTTTATGTCTTTCAACCAATTGATTGGTTTTAGGGTACACACTTACAATCTCATATTTGTACTTTAGACAATCGTTAACGTATTCAATATCGAACTCTTTCACTTATCAATTGTGTCTTTACTAGGACAATTTTTGTGCAGTCTTTAGGATTATGTTTAGTTATTTCTTTGATAATTTTGTTATTTGATCATAATACTTATTTGAATCATAATGAGACTCATATTCCTTATGGTTTTGTTGTTATTTTAACAATTATAGAATCCATTCTTAGCTCAATGCCTAATGATCCAAATATGTATCCTTTTATAACCTTGAAACAAAAGGTTGTATTTAATCATGGATAAAAACATACAACCCAATTCCTTTGGAATTATTCCAAACTGATTGCATATTATTCATCATGGCATAGTTGTCACTTTGCCAGTTAAGCTCATTTAACATACTCTTGTTGTGATCCATTTTAGTTTTTATAGTAATTGGCCCAATTTTTCAGCCTATGCATCTCGCATGCATGACTTCTAGTCTATTTATCTCATATACATCTACTTCTATGAGTTAGTCTTACCATTCCCACTTGGTTTCTATATGCACAAATGATATCTTAATTCTTTTGATAAATTCAATTTATTTACATTTTCAATCAAAAGTTAGATATCAAATTTCAATTGTTTTATTTAGTATACTCATCTCAAATAAGTAATGCATCCTAATAAATCTTTGAATCCTTATGCATTCATGCATTTTATACATTCGGATTTCAGATATACACACTTTAATCTTTAAAGTATTATCAAGTCTTGCACTGTTTTCAACATCCATGTGAACCTTTTACTTTGTTAGAGAATTTATTCAGAATTTCTTTTGAATGTTCAAAGTGTGATCTTGAAATTTGCTATCACACATCCAATGTGAATACTAGTTTTATTATCAAAATTTGAAATCCTTTTGAAATTAAGTGGTATTTAGGTTTTACCATTGGAATCTCTAATTTGATGAATCTATGATAATTATACATCTTTAGTTACAAACTCTTAATCTTTATCAAAAGGTTTAACTAACTATGTATTTCATAATTTCATTATGAAACCTTAGTTTATGTTTGCATCATTGTATTGTTATTTCTTTTGAATAAGATATCATCTTTTAATTTATAATAAAAAAAGTATCTATATATTGGATCCTTATTAAATTGACTATGCATCAATGCATAAACATATTATCATAGTTAAACTCATCAAAACTGATTATGATTAATGATTGGACCAATATTATATTTATTTGATTTATGATTTAGAGGATAAAATTTAAACTAAACATCCAATGCTAGCAAAATAGCATTTATATCAAATATAAATTTCAAGCATATATTCCCAACATATCCAAAATCATTCAATTATAGGGTCGAAAATAATATCCTTAAAAATCATCCTAAACGGCATATAAGACAAAATAAACATCTAATGTTTAAACCAAATCAAATAAATGTTTAAAAATTAAATATAGAAATTGGCAACAAAGTCTCGCTTCTTGCCGCAATTTTCTTGGCCAATCATTTTCATTGCTCCTTTGCATTGGTTTTTGAACATGTGATACATATATGAGAACAATCAAAGAATAATGTATCATATATCAAATTTAGCAAAATAGTAATCTTATAATCATACCTGAAGTAAAAGCTTTTTGCCTTTTATAGTTTGGAGATATTCCTTGTAATTACACCTCTAATGGCCCGATTTCACACAATGATGGCATGTCTTTTTCTTTTCTTTCTTTACCCCACCATTTGGCTTGAGTATTTTGGAATAAGATCCCTTATCCTTCTTTCTTTTTAAAGGATTTTTTTTTATTTTTACCTTTTATATAAGCAATAAGATGGATTAATATATTTTCCTTGTCAATGGTCTTCTTAGCCTGGGTGAGCATATTTAACAATCTTAACAAAGTTGTTTCAATGTATTTCATGGTGAAGTTCAACATGAACTGTGAATAGCTCAAATAAAAAAAGTATTAAATTAATAGGATCATGATCCATAGTCCAACTAAACTGTATTGCCAAATGATATACCAAATTATCTTAAGCACATCAAGCTTTACAAGGCTATCTGCAGACATCTTTAATCAAAATAATTTCTTGAAGATGTTGAATCTTTTAGTTTGATTTTTCTTGTTGAACAATTCTCGAATGTTAAATAGCATATCTTGAGTATTTATGGTTTTATGATACTTTTGAAGCTCGTGAAACATGCCCACGAACTGATAACTTTATTTTTTTTTAGAATTATAATGGACTTATTTGATTAATTATGACATCTACTTAGTTAATTTTACTTGATTCTTAGCAAACAAATTAAATTATCCACCTAATTAATTTAATTTTCTCATGTTGTAAATAAATTAAATGGTGAAAGAATAAGGGGAAATGCAAGTGAATGGATGCCATGTTGGTTGTGTGCACATGTTTTTTTAGTTGACATGGCAAAAAAGTGTAAGTTGGTCTCTTAATTTGCGAGAATTAACGTCAATTTGAAGGATGCATCGGGCTGACTTTATTGGTGCAAGAAAGAGTTCAACTTTAAATTGAATTCATAATTCTAGTGCTACCAACAAGGATGAAGGAAGCCAAGTTGTCAAGCTCTCAAGTCTTTAAAATGTTGCCAAGCTAAATAGATTGTATGACACATGATATGGAGGACGATTGGTATAAACAAACAAGAATACTATTTTGGCTACTGCTACCTATCATAGGTTTGCTAAAATTAAGCTGTCATGAATTATCACTGAGCTAGTCAGTTACTTACTATAAGGTTGGAAGGCTATTGGTTGAAGATTGTTAAACATTCCTTGCATAAAGACTACTTATTGCCTTCCCCAATGCTACTTGAAGTAGCACCCAGGTAGTTATAGATGCTGCCTTCTTCTCATTGGTTATGATTTGTAGTAAAATTATAGAAAGAAGAAGACTTGATTGATTCATCTTTTAGTTGAATGCCTTATCATTAAACTTTAGTGTCTTCCTTAAAACACCCTATCCAAACCAACTTCACTAGTAATGAGAAATGGGAGAACTGGCTCAAAACTAACATCACTTATAAAACATGGTTGTCTAATAAATAGGCTTATTAGAATACTACTTTTGTGTTCATGTTATGAGAGATTTGGAAGACTAGAAACATAAGGATTTTTAAGGAAAACCCATCAATAACAATGTGGTTAAGAAAGCTATAGACCACGCCATTGAATATTTTTCCTTAACAGGTCAAGTCAAAAGGATTCCCACCCCTTCCACCATTACAGTTCAATGGAGACCACCAGCTTTGGGCTAGTACAAACTCAACACTGATGGCTCTTAAAAGGGGAATCCAAGCAAAGCAGAGGGTAATGCAATCTCAAGGAAACATGAACAAAAATGGATTAAGAGGCTGGCT